GCTGTAGAAATTTATGCTTTCCTTACGAATTTCTCCCGCGTTGTACGTATTCATTGTAAAGTTTCCTTAAATTTGATAATTCACATGTATATTCGTGCGTGGTGTCAAGGACCCATTAAATTTTCTTACTCTAATGGGATCCGGCCGTTCGCCTCGTAGGGATTATGTACCACGCTCTTATGGGAGCGGGTCATTCGCCTCGGCAGTATAATTGATGCATCTATGGTTCGTGTCGTTTGACCCTCGGCGGTGTACACATTATTATGGTATCGGGCCGTTCGCCTCGGCAGTATTATATTCTTAAAGGATCGGACCGTTCGCCTTGGCATTTCTATAAATACTCATATGAATCGGGTCGTTCGCCTCGGCAGCGCCGTGCGTAATATTTGACAAGAAGTCATCGCATCTGTGAGTTTTCCTGATTTGAGTTTTAACGACTTATCTTATGGGGACCATTTTAGTTATATACTCCGGCGGAGGAGGTAACTGATAATTGAGAACTTGAGTTTACTGTTCAGAGGAGGCACGTACGTATATTTGTTTATATTGTTTATTTAACCTGCCTCATATTTGCTTACTTCTAACAGTATTTGATTTATTGGACCACTAGTAAGTGTTGATATCGACCCCTCGTTATTACTTCTCCGGGGTTAGGCTAGATATTTACTGGGTACACATTGATTTGTACTCATGCTATAATTGCTGCACTTATTGTATATATATATATATATATATATATATATATATATATATATATATATATATATATATGTCTGGTAGTCTTTGGGGCGCAAAGGCGCGGCTATTGCGGAACTTTACGGTGAGCTTCATTCCATGTTACGATCCGCAGATTACAGAGTCTCCATCGGAGTTATTTACATTCTCCTATCTAACTTGTATTCCAGACAGGTGTTGTATTTTATTATATTTCTTAGTAGATGTTAATTCACTTGTGACACCAGATTTTGGGGGTTCCTACTGGATGTTCATGATTGTAGTTCACTTAATCATTATCATTTCACCTTGTAATTTATATTTTATACGAAAATTAGAAAATAAAATCACGGGTGCCTGCGGGTACTAGATTTCACTCTATTTATTTAATGAGTTTTATGATTTTAAAAATAATGAAATGAGTAACTAAGTTGATTAATCACCGTTGGCTTGCCTGACGGTAGCGTTAGGCATCATCACGGCCTATAATGAATTTTGGGTCGTGACAATCTTATAATATGTATTTCAAAGTAATATCATAAAATATTAGTTAGATACATGTTATACAGTAAGTAAATTATATGCATGTAGATATTTAATAAGTCAACTAGTAAAGTGATACAGATGCTATGTAAAGACTTGGAAGCAGTCGAGACAGTAATAAACAAAGAAACACAAGAAAGTAATATCCAAAGAAGCAAATCCACATAAAACAGTTAAAGACGTGAAGCAAAATGTCAATTCCAGTGAAAATTTCTATTGCTGTTTTTCCTCCTATTCTCTAAGGAAAACAAAAAGAGGAAACAATCCGCTCAACTGAGAATCACGACAAAATCATTCTTCTTGAGCCCTTTCACAAAGGTCTCCAGCAACGAGAGAAAATCTTTCGAGTCATAATTATAGATGTTAGCACTACATAATATGAGATGATAACCAAGTACTTTTTGTACACAGTCTTGCCTACCCTTAAGGTTAGATCCGTTATTGAACCAATGATGAATCATACCTTTTGTGAGGACATTTTCCCTATAGAGACATCTTACAATTGTAGGAAACACGCCCTCGCATTCATCATCATAACATCGGACTTGCACTTTGTACACGAGTTTCCTTTTAAGTTTTTTTGTAGTGCATACTCCTTCTATGTTTTCACCTACAAAGTGAGAAAAAGGAAAGAAGCGGAAAACAAGGAAAAAGAAAAAGGTATAAGCAATTGAACTCAAAAACTACAAAAGCTCTAGAAGTAACTAAACTTGACTTCAAAAAAGTAAGGCTTGGCAATGGCAAAGCCACACATTCTCGTGGATCCGCAGGCCACTGAACAGCATGAATGATATCATCCCATAAAAATGCTACAACCTCCTCATCTTTCCAGTTAGAATCTTTGAATTGTTGCTTCAAAGTTCATATCAATTCAGAAGCATTTTCTTTTGCTATTAAAGCAGTTTTAATCTCCTTTACCTTCTCCCTAATTATGTTTCTCCAATCGTACTGCAAAGGCTTGATTTTACTGAAATGGTCATAGTTTAGGAGCAGATAATGACAATAAAATATAAAAAATATCAGTCTTATTGGTACTCACTTGGAATGTTTAGAGAGAGCTTCCATGTTAATCGGTGTTGCAACATGCCTTTTACGGGTCTGATAATTCTCCAATTCCCGGAAACGACCGTTATCAAGTTCATACAATATGCCATAGGCCAAATTTCCAAAACCCTTGATATCCCTTCAAGGACGTCTCAATAAAATTCATGGTATAAAGCTAAATTTGAATAAGGGCCCTTTTCTTCTTTTTTTTTTTTTTGTCTATATTGTATTTATCTTACAAATTGAATAATCCGTCCCTAAACCGATAAGCCGTTAATAAAAAAAAATTCAATTTGTTCTCCGTCCGTTAAACTGTTAACCCGATACCAATAAGCCATTAAGCTTCGGTTTCGATTCGGTTTTCGGTTTTGAATACCCTAGTACAAGCTCGTGGGTCCAGATTATTGCATCTGTATTGAGTTAAAAACATTGTCTGCCAGACAGACTACCCACGAACACCTTGATAATTTTTTCTTGCTCTTTAAGTTTCCTCGCTGATGCATTGTAGATTGACTCTAACTCGGGGAGCATCTCCGCTTTCTCCGCGCATTCATTTCTCTTTCTGGAAATTTGCTCTCCCAAATCGAGTTCAGAATTTTCCAACACAGACACTTCCTTCTCAAGTGAGAGGAGACTGTGTTTCACTTTGTACAATTGGATCTCTTTATCCCGTGATTCTTCTCTTAACTTTTTATATTCCTTCACTTCCGGAAATTCAAATGTTATCCCAAGCAGACGACATCCTACACATGAGAAACAGAGCAAAAAAAGAATATTGCCATTAAGAACAAGAAAAAAGAAGCACTTCTAAGCTCCAAAATCCATGTGAAACCAACGGCCCAAAAACAGAGCTCCAAAATCCACCTCCATAAAACCAGCTGAAAACCACCTTCAAACAGTCATGTAAACTCCACCAGTAGCCAGTCTCCTTTAGTAGTTTCAGGGAAAAATTCCATCTAAAACCAGTGACCCAAAGCAGCAACACCGCTAGAAAACCACCACTGAAACCACCATACGTGAACCACTTTCTTCCATAAAACAGACTGACAAGAGTAGAAACAAACATGTAGTGAGCATCAACTCGACTCAGGATTAATAACCCATTTTCACTGCAATCGTTCATAAGCCAACCACAACAGGGGAAACGATCGAGTAGTTCAGGGGTTACTTTTGTTCGTGTTGAGGTTTTCTCTTTCAGTGGCAAGTATCCCGTTCGTCGCTCCGGTTCCTATTGCTCTAGTTTTTGTTCAAAGTTCTGGGTCAACGGTTGCTTTCCGGAATAGAAAGGAGTATTGCACTTAAGTTGCATTTCTGCTTTGCTTACTCTTCCTTCTTTTTCACCCAGTTTAATTAACTCTTGTGAATGCTCTGCTGATTGATTCATTTACTGCGCTGAGTTGGATTTTGGAGCTCTGTTTTTGGGCCGTTGGTTTCACATGGTGTAAATAATGGAGATGCTGATGGTTTTATGGAATTTGGAAATTTTTTCGTGAAGAAGATGTTGTGTGTGATTATGAAAAGTGAAGTAGGGAGCAAGAAAAGTGTAGTAGAGAATATTTTTGTTCTCTGCCGAATTTTGTTGGGTCCACAAACAAAAAGAAAAGGAAGAAAATGAAAGAGAAACAAAAAAAAAAAAAAAAACATTGCCAAACGAGTTTTGGAAGAGGAACTTCGAAAATGAATACCAGCTGATATTCAAAGAGGAATAACCAAAGGGCGTTTGGATAAATGTCAATTAGTCATCTCTTATGTCGGTCAAAATAGCACGGGTAATTAAAAAATAGCCAGCGTTTGCAAAGTCATTGAAAAATAGTCATCATTTTGCTGCAACATGGAAAGTTCCACTATAATATACTTGGAGATTGGAGCACCTGTGTATGGATTTCCAGCATATTATGTCGGAACTCCCGCACATTATGGAATTCCAGCATATTATGCTGGAAATCCACATGTAAAAAATTCGCAACTCCCGCATATTATGCTGGAATATTTTCGGATTTTGTACATTGTTTTTGTTCAGATTTATCTTTTACATGAAAAGTGGCTAAATTTCGATTACTTTTAAAACTGTGGCTATTTTTCAATTACCACTTGTAAATCTGGCTATGTGAAAATTGAAATGTCATCCATTTACTGGTGCTGTTATTTTCTCCTTTGGACACTAAACCTTTTCTCTCTCTTCGGAACATTTCACTACTCTGTTTCTGAGAGTTCAATTTTTGTGCAGTAAACAATGCAATAGGTTTTTCCCCCCACCAGTCAAAGTAAATTAACCTATAACAGGCTTAACAGCGTATAACTATTCATAAAAAGGTCTGATATAATAACTTACTATATAATAGACTGGCAGTGCGAATTAAAAATGGGTTTTCTCTCATGTACAAGGAAGTAGAGTAGATTATTTGTTTTCCTATGCAGAAGATTTATCATAGGCTGGACAAGAAAGTTCCGTTAACTTTTTGATAATTTTTCATCAGTCTAGCCATTTGTTTGCATGAGTTCATCTTTGTCTAAAATTCTTTATGTAAAAATTATCAGCCAAGAAGAGATCTGACAACACGAATGAAAATACCATCAAGAAAATTAAAAGACTATTTATGATATCTTCTCTTCCTGGTTCAAAAATCATGAGGAATAAAAGAACGAGGGGCAGAGAACTGTTTTCTGGTCTTTCTCATCAATACCACTTCTTTTGCCTCTGAGGTAATTAGCTTTTTATACTACATGTAATTTCATCATAAACTACAAAAGAAAATGTTATGTTACAACAACCTATGGATCGGAAGAGCGTCTTAGTATACAAGAAGACTATCAATTTGGAGCTGGACAACAATGGAAATTTACATTGGCCTCAACAAAATCAAGCCATAGTATACAAAAGCAGTCACACTCTTCCTCAAAATGGCCAAAAAATCTAAATATCGAAAATCACGATAGCATTCTTACCCTGCGGCAATACTGAAGCAACATTAAGCTCATTGGAGAGAACAGGGAAAGTACAGTCACACGTTCAAAGAGAAGGATAACAAACGTTATTTTACATGAGCTCCATGGCTTATGAATTTCCTAGCACTTGCTTTGGCTTTGGCTACCTGTTGGCATTGGCTGCCTGTTTTAAGAAATCATCATTAAAAAAAAGAAAATTCATAATCGGTCTACAAGAATACTGTAGATAATTCTAATTTTGTTTCTAAGATACTGATACAGCTTCTGATGAACAATCTATGCCTCCAACAGTGTTGCCATGTTTATAATCTTATACTTCCCCCCACCCCCTCCTCCTCCTATTACTATCACTTGAGCATTTTGCACACCATTTAAGAAAACATTAATAATAGAAGTTATCTGACAAATTTTCCCTTATTTATTCTATGATCTCTAGATCTTTTTACTTCTTTCTAGAGCACCTATTTGAGTAGTAAAGGTAAAAATGGAAGGAAAAAAACTTAGTTCTTTCTTGATTTTCTAAAACAACAAGTACTTTGGAACTATTTTTAGCAAAAGTGACAAGTTAATCAAACTGAAAGGAGTAGTACTTGTAATGTTTCAGCTGAGTTAGATGCACATTCATATGTATCCATTAACTGTTTCGGGACATTACCTTTTTAAGATATTTCTTGTGAAGTTTCATTGCACCAGTGCAAGCCTTTTTGGCATCCAGGTTTCCAGTGATGTCATTCAGTATCTGTTATAATTAAAACAGATTATTAAAATAACATTCAAAAGATTTTCTTCCATCCACAGGTGTGACCACCTGCCTGTCACGCCATGGCTATGGAAGTTCCCCAAAGATGAGGTTAGAAGAAAGACTCTTGAGTTGGAGATCATAATAGAACTTAAAATTTATGTACTTTGCAAACCAACCTTAACAACATCGTCCAGTCCTTTAGCTTCTGTCAGCAACTTTGTGCTCTTGTCTTTCAGGACACTGGCTACTAGGAAAACGGAAATTGGGAGGGGAGCTTCAACACCTTTGCCTCCATTTTTCATATTTTCTCTCTCAAATTTCCCACACTGGCGTGTCGATTTTGGTCTTCCTTTAGATCCTTCAGATTTTTCAGCAGCTAAGTCAGGGTCTTCATACATAAGAAACAAGTCCGGATCATATTCCAAGGCCCACATCATCTGTTGAAAAAAGGTGATGACAAGTAATAAAAAAATTAGACAATAAGAACATAATGGTCAGACCATAAACGTATTCATGCATCAGAGGAAGGATCAATAGATTTAAGTCATAAGTTACTTTTCATACAACCAGATGGAAAAGCCATCAACTAGCAGGTCTAGATCAGGAAAACTAATTAAATTATTCAGGAGAAAAAATCCTACCTCCCAAAGATATAATGAATCAGCAAAAGAAAATTCTCGACGAAACAAAACCATGAGCATCCGGATAGCAAATAGGTAATCACCTCCACCTAATGTCTCTGTGGAACAAGATCAGAAGAAAATCCAATATTACTACTTCATAGAAAATATGATTGTAACTCTTTATATCTGCAGGCCAATTTAAATAATTGAAAGCTTGTACCAGAGACCAGAGGTGGAGCTAGAATTTCAACTTTATGGGTTCTTGATTTTAGAACGACTTCAAGTGCTAATAATTGAGTTCTAAAGTTAATGTGAGTACATATTTAATGAATTCTTTTAACACAAATTGAGCAAAAGCTATTGGGTTTGGCCGACCCCGTATTTGGACAACCTCCACCCCTACCAGAGACCAATTCTCTATCTTTGAGGGAATATTAGGCTAATCACACACTTTCATAAGAAGATCATACTGAAACTTTAAGTGTAGTAAAACACCTCCGGGTATGTTATGATCCATTGCAAGGTATGGGACTTGAGTCCCACGTCGGTATGACAATGTGCTGAAGTGGGGTTTATATAGCCTTGGGCTCTCCCACCTTAATAGCTAGCTTTTGGGGTGTGGTTCTCCCTGGGTTGTATCAATGGTATCAGAGCCACCCACCGCCCTCCGTGCCCACCGTGCCATGGATGGTGACGTCGGTATTGCAGTGCTCGCGGGGGGCTAGAAAAGTCTAGCGCACAGCCGTCGGGGACGGCGGATGCGGAGCGTGGTGGTTTGTTATGATCCATTGCAAGGTATGGGACTTGAGTTCCACATCGATATGACAATGTGCTGATGTGGGGTTTATATAGCCTAATAGCTAGCTTTTGGGTGTGGTTCTCCCTGGGTTATATCAGGGTAGCACATAATCAAATTGTCAAGCGGATGTGAGAAACTTTCTAGTTTATCATTAGAACATGGGGGTACTACACAGCAGCAGGAAGAGAAGTTAAGCAGTGATTGAGTAGCTTTTGGCATGCTTTGCAGCTTTAGAGATGTATATATAGAAAAGCTATTTTGTCCATTATTTAGTCTCAATGGCCAAGACAATGCAAGTAATCATGATTGCAAGCAACAGCTGTAGATAAACTGGAAGATTCTAGTATAATTTATGTGCATGCAAAAAGTGTACAGGAAATTATAAAGAACTAAGAAGAATCCTATAATGTAGCATTAAACAGCACAATCTTCTCAGCTTCTATTTTGAAAAATCAGAGCAATGTAACCAGAATTTGACCAACAGATAATAGCCTGCAGTTATAGCTGACTTCTGCAAGATGTACCCTCCAGCAAAAACAGAACATAGGAAAGATGCTTTTAGTTTCCAACATTATAACAACTCTGTCAGTTCAGTTTTCAATTTAAAATTTAGAACTGATATTGTTGGTTATGAAATCCTTAGGATAGCCATACTGTATAAAGCATCAGTCAGCCGCTTGTCTTAGATTATTAGATGAAGTTCCGAAATAAGACGTCGTTTCATATTAAGACAAAGACCAGATGAAAAATAAGAACATGAATTGCTTTTTACTGGACTAGGTACTTATAATTTAAAGGGAAAAGATCATACCTAAGTGACGATGAAGTTTAGGATCAATAACTTGTGTTACTGAAGCTAGATTACTCAGCTGCACCTCTACTCCAACAGACCTCTCGGTGCATCTGAAATTTCCTCTCTTTAAAATTTCACAGAACACTTGATATTAGTCACAACAACTGCAAAAAGCATAATCCATATAGTAACACCAATGATAGAAGGTGAAACTCAAAATATAGCTGTTAAAGTATGGTAAGGGCACAAAAAATATACAGATGAGGTTTAATCTTTTAAATGAAATTTTTTTATAAAATAATGGGATCCCAAATTAATCGAATAGTTCTTTTTTTAGTATTTGGAAAATATTTTCTTGGCAATTGTAAATTTTTGAATACTATTTCTTTTATGCGAACTGAGTGGTATAGCAGATATCATATCCACCTCACAAGATACTCTTGCCTTATGAGCATTTCCCTGCTCTATTATTGTTATTAATAATATTCCAGTATAACAGGGAATTCTTCTTTTGATAAGGAACAGGAAAATTCTCTTCTACTTGACTCATGAGTATTTCCCTCCCTATCAAGACTTATTTCCCAATCTCATAATATACTCTCCTTCAACAAGAAAGGGTGAAGGATTGTCCTAATCGTACAGTATAATACAGCGCCGACAATATCTATTGCTGATCTAATTATGAGAAGCTAAGGAATTGCAAAACTCAGGTTTTTTACATACAGATGTGTGCTAATATTCAGGTACAAAGACAAAAGAGTTGTGATGCAAATAAAAAATGTGAGCACATATTAACATTTAGGGAATGAAGAGCATAACAGTGGTCATATTTGAGAGCATACAGTAATTGGAAAATATGATTTACGCCATTAGAATGATGAAACAGGTTGTGTGAGTAAACAAATTTTTGTATATACCAGTCTCCTCATAAGGCGTTGAAAGCACCAAAATGCATCGGCTTCATCATCAAGAAGGATAATCATGGGGGAGCAAAGATCGCTCATTCCTGCTCAGCATTGCCAAGGGCTTAATATTTAATAGAGAAAAAGGATAAACAACTGCAAAAACAAATATAAAATAAGGAGACTCTAATGCATTGAAAAAGAAATGGAATACGTGTTGTTCTCTTTTTTCCTTTTCTTTTCCTTTTTTTTCTTTTGATTAGCAGGAAAACTGTTGATCTATGTGCTGATACTTGATACAGATAAAGCTGATGATATCACATACAACGATACAAGTTGCTATGGGAAAAGATATCAAAAGTTATATGCAAAAGATGGATCCTTTCACCTTTTTAAGATATTTCATCGACAAATTTGCATGCATTTTGATCTAGAGAGACATTCTAACTACGTCTATACAATTTTTTTTCTTCAAGCCTAAAACCAACTGATCACCACCTTAAGCATATTCCACAAGAAATAGTCAAAAAAGGTGAAAGCAGGGTGTAGAAAACTGAAACTAGTAGAAAAGCCTTCAAACACATATTCAAGTTTGAACTGTTACAGATAGATGCCACAAGCCCCTGCGGCCCAGTAATTATCGCATCAAAGAGAAGCTAAAACTGCTAGAAAATTTCATATCACAAAAATAATATGACACCCACCTTGACAATAATTAACATCTTTGTCAAACCAAGCATAAACAGACAGAATATCCCAAAGCCTGGCTAGATTCTCCTGTTTCTCATAAAAGACAAGTGTCCTGTCAGTCCGAACAACATCGAGCCCTAGCATAAACCCATAAACAAAGAACTTATCAACATGAAGAGACTGAGTATCAACAAGTGATTCAGAAGAGTATGATATTAGCATGTGGTTCATCCTCAATCAAATTACTACTTAATTTGCCAACAGGAAAATGTCTGCAGATGAACACTTCTTATTGATTGGATACAATGAAAAACAAGTTAAATCTAGAACAAGTACATATTATCTATAGAGAGATAACCAACCTATCTGGTGTAATGACAGTTTCCACTGGATTATTCTTTTGTCGTGCTCCTTTACCATTTCATATCCAGCTGAAGCCCCTGCACTAGCATGCAGTCAAAGATTATTAACCGATATAAACTACCAACAAGCTACCTACATATACAATATGTGTGTGCGTGCGTGTGCGTGTGTGTGTGTGTGTGTGTGAGAGAGAGAGAGAGAGAGTGTGTGTGTGTGTGTGTGTGTGTGTGAGAGAGAGAGAGAGAGAGAGAGAGAGAGAGAGAGAGAGAGTGTGTGTGTGTGTGAGAGAGAGAGAGAGAGAGAGGGAGAGGGAGAGAGAGAGAGAGAGAGAGAGAGAGAGAGAGAGAGAGAGAGAGAGAGAGAGAGAGAGAGAGAGCTGGAGGGAGGAGAGCACACAAGTTGAAAACTCAACATATTCAGGATTACCATTTTGTTGACCACCTGAACTTAATTCTTTTGCCGCTTGTGCCTCTTGGAGAGTAATAGGATCTCGAATAGGGTCACCATCTTCAGTAATTACAGGTGCAGTAATGAATCTACCACTTCCAATCATGGGAAACATCATGCGGCATTCTTCTTTCAGTACAGCATACTGGGCCCTGAATGTACACAGCATAAATCCATGTCAAGAATATTGTATGGAAATTGGATATGGATCAGTGTTAATTTATACTCCGGAATGGCAAATTATCCCCCTTTTACATGTGAAGATGAGCACAATCATATTGATGAATCATGATCAACTATGCCCCATTAAAATCCTTATATATTCCACTTCATGACTGGAGCCAACTATATCGTGGTTACAAAGCTGTAGAAGGTTAATTACAGGTGTGCACGCTTCAAAATCCAAAGGCTTCAGAATCTCATGCAAGATAGAACAAAAAGTTTTAGGAATGCAATATCAAAAAACATTTCTCTTGTCATTAGCAGTGAAATATGATGGATTCTGTGAAGAACAATCTCTTGACTGTTAATAATTTAAAAGGAAAAAAAATTCTCCTGACTAGTAAGAACTTGTTAAATTCACTGAAATCTATGTGCAGTGTGTTAACCAATTTGATAGCGGACGGGTTTGTTAATAATGTCATCATACGATTCTGTATGGAGTAGCATTTAGCGCATAGATCTTGAAGGTTGCTTATTTCAAGTCACCTCCAAGAATAATTATCCGTGTTACTCCACTAAAGTTAATTGACTAATTTACAATGATAAAGCATTTTAAAATTCGGAAAAATTCAAGTGCTCTTCCAAACTTAGGCAATAAAGAAAGTAAAATACCTCCGCCGCTGTCGTATGTGCTCTCGTTCCTCAAATGTGCTCTTTGGATCATAGCAACCCAGTAAAAATTCCCAAACTTCACCTCTAATTGATGGATGAATGCCCTACAATGTTATAGACGTTTGATGGTTAGTAGTCTACTAAGCTTATTATCTTGCCAATTATATATGTAAAACATATTCATTCGATCAGTACCAAAAAGAGAAAAAAGGAAAATCAGCCAGCATAATGATACCGTAGAACAGAAGCTTTAAGGATCATATATCACGTAAACCTACAGAAACTTTGAAATCAAGTCAAACTTACCCCACGATAAATTCGACTTAGCGTCTTGCCAATGTCAAGATAACCTTCTGACGTAAATGCAGCATGCCATTTCCTTGCACTTAAGGTTTTCCCAGCCTGAATAAGTGGATCAACAGACAATATATATGCAGCAACATGAATACTGTAAGTAAGGAGTTCAACTTAGTCAAGAGAAATGTGAGAAATATTTATGAACAATCTTATTTGTGATGTATCTAGCCATATCGATCTAGGTAAGTGGTGACAACGAAAAGGCTTTTCAGCCTGAGGAGCGGTAAGCGAGGTAGGATAAAATGATATATGAATAGATAATGTATCAGATTCTTATTTGAGATGATAAACAGACAAATTAGTGTTTACCCTACACTCAGAAAACCAGACCACCGCGACATAAAAGGTATAACTTTTAGTTTCTCTAAGCCTTCCTAAAACTTTATTATCCTCAACTTTCTAATTTATCTAGAATTCCTGAAGGGGTCATATACCATTGCCCCTAAAGTTTATACCACTTTATGGGTAAAAACTTCACTTTGCCCCATCACATGCAAGTTATGAGCGCTCTCACAAATCAGTATTTGCAGCTTAATACCCACAGTTCCGATTTAAGATACAGTCCAAAACTAGTTCACAACATCTGCGCCACAAGTGTAACAGAACAAAAAGGGAACTTATGAACTATGCTAATCAGCATCCAATGTTACTCATTAAATGTTGCACTCCCGCCTTATAAGTTCATAACCAGGAAGTATCATCCAATTGCAATTTCTGATTTCCAGGTTAAAGAATGAGAAAAGAAAAAGATTATTTGCCCATATTTTTAGCTTGTAGGTAGCAGCTTCTGCAATATGTTGGCACAAAATCCCCTCTTCCCCAACTCAAAACCGTGTAACTTTGCACCAAGTTCCACTTGCAACTACTAAATCTGAATGCAAACTGGAAGATGCTTCAAACAACTAGGCCTTATGCCACTATCAAATTATGAGAGCAAAGCGTAACGAAAACATTAATGCATTACTTTGAAGTCTGGAATACATCTGTAGACATTTAGTTATGCTGATTGCAGTTAATGATCCCCATTTAGAACCCAATTATAAAGTCTGACAAAAGCACATCTTTTATCTCAACAAACATGTGATCTTTCCAATCATCTCTATACATCCCACAACATTAGACAACAGATCATTCCATTAACCATTGCAGAAGGCTTAAACACATAAAGCCAAAATACAATCACAAGAGCATCAACAATTCAAGACCTTGATACAACAGATGAAAAGGGGTCGCTTAATGATTAGTTTTCCAAGTAAAGCTTCTAATATAAGACCATAAATCTATTAAAACACACAAAACTAAAGACCATTAAAATTGGAGAATTACTAACCTTGATTCTAAATCTAGTTTTGGGAACATCTGTACATTCAGGGCGAACCTGATAGAAAGAATCAGCAGGAGCACCAGGGTCCCTCCACATACTTGATAATATCCCAACTTGCTATCTTGAAAAAAAAAATTAACAAAATCCCACCAGGCAACAGCTCCAGCTCACGAACCCAGATCAAAGTTTCTACAAGAAGAACAAAATGGGACCCATGTCATACACTTGCTTTTTTACTGGTATATAATTTTTTATTTTTTTTTCTAATCTGCATATGATTGGCTTCATTTTTTCTTATTACAGTTGAATATTGTTGAAGTGAGGAGTTGAGGGTGGTTGATGGATGAGTAATGGCGGTGGCATTTCAGAGTTAGCGAGAAAGACGTGGGGTCCACCATCTTGGTACTCTATTCGCGGGCTACTAAAAAGTGGAAAATCAGAGGTTATTGTTTGGGACTATTTTTATGACGCGCAGATGGCGGCGCGTGTTTTTGAGGTGTGGTTTTCTTGTAGAATAAGATAGAAGGGATCATGTCCGAATTGGGACCGGTGTCGTTGATTTGGTCAATTTGACTCGGTTAGAAATGGTCTACCTGGTTTTTGGTTTGAAACATTAGGGTTTTGGGTCAAACAAAAATTAACATATTAGTATTTGTTATAAATAGAATTGTATTTATGGTGAATGCGTATATTTAGAGAGATTTTAGGGTTCATTGCTTGGTGGCTAAGTCACCCTCTCCCTATAAATAGAGGCTTCTATTCCCATTGTAATTCATCCCAAATCAATAAGAATTCTCTCTCCCAACTTTTCTTTGCAATACAATTGTTCTTCATTTATTGTTTTATAACACGTTATCAGCACGAGACTCTAACCAATTGAGTAGAAGCTTTGGAATTGAGCATAATGATTGTCAATTGTTCCATGAACTTCCTTCATGATTAAATTCTGAATTTAAGGTAAGTATCTTACTTTATTTTTCTCTTTTAAATTCTTGAAATTCTATAATTTGATTTTATATACAAGCAAAGACAACAAAGTTTGATTATAACTCTAATAGAGTTTGTAAGAAATTATAACCACCTGAAGTGGTAAAATTTCTATGCCCGCCATGATCAAATTCATGTATAATTGTGAGCAAAGAATTAAAAACTCGTCCCATTGAATTTGCTTCATTCTCATTCCCTTAAGAGAATGTGATAGCAATATGTGATAAGTCTGAAAGAAGACAAAATTATTACTATGAATGTATCAATGGATATGGACGTGGCAATAGACGAAATTATAATCGTCATCATTTGTGGTAATGAGAATAATAAGGATTCTCAAAATAATCTTTCACTCTGTGAAAAATATTTGTCATCCATTTGACATGAGATTTTGTAAAGCACATATAGATGATTATGGTCCATTCATGATGTGAATGTGACAACATCTGATTTATGAATACATATTCATTCTTCAAAGAATATGAACGTGCTAGTGGTAGTGAATATACCGCACTCACCTTTAAAAGGAGGTTTGAGATGATATAAGAAAATAATATCATGATTATGGCATGAATGGTCATTGGTCACGTACCTATTGTACGCCAAAATATTTTGGCATTGTGATTATTAAAAGACAACAATAATGCAAGAAACAGATCTTGCATATAATTTTGACCATAACCATAATGGTATAACTTTCTCTTTAAATGAGATATTCACCATATGGATATTGATAAATATGTGGTAGTACCAAATTAATTGAGAGCTCTGGAAGAGCCAATTATTACTATTTTGGAGAAACACAATTGACTACCAATAAGGTATTGTGTTGTAGTAAGTCTCGAAGAAACTTATTCAGTTTCCAAAGTATACGCGAAAGCGGTTGATTATATTGAGACTACAAATAAAGGAAAGATTTAATATCTTCTATTACTACAACTTGTAGCGGGGTAATATGTATGTGAAAAGCTACCTGCTTTATTCTCCAATTTGTACTACATAAACAAAAGAATACCACAATGAAGTGGATATTTATTAATATAAAAACCCATATCATAATAAACTTGGAGTTTATTCATAATTGCACACATCATGGTGTAAACCTGAAGTTTATCAATATTGATAATTTATCCAGTTGACATAATTGGTTTAGCCATGTTAATTCAAGTATGATGTGCAAAAATAAAAGAGAATTCACATGGGTAAATATTAAAGAACTAAAAAGTTCTTTACGAATTCTCTTACATTGCTTGTTCTCATTAAATAATAGACCAACTAAAATTGGGATTGAATCCCATGAATGCTGGAAATATCAAAGGTGAATATGGGCCCATTCACCTGCCATGTATACCACATAAGATGCATCTATGAGATGGTTACATGTGCAATTATTATTAACCCGCAACATGGTGTTTTGCGAGGTAACTTGCTCAATAATTTAATTTCGAGCATAATTTCCAGATTTTTTATTCAAGAAGTTCATCTTGATAAGTTGGTTTACATCACAGTTCGTTTAGCAAAATGATTTATTGAGTGCCTCCACTTAATAGCTAAACTATTGCTTATGAGAACAAAGTTATCTATATCAGTTTGATATAGGTTATATACGAAAGTATATTACATTCTCCCCTCACAAGTGGTTCAGGGTCAGGAACCAAATAATTCCATCTTATTATAATTGATGTGCGGTGTATATTTTGATTAACACCATAACGCACAAAGATGGGTTCTCAAAGTTGAGGAACCAAGTTAGTTTTTCTAACATGAGGGCGAGACAAGATACAACAGTTGAGAAAAAGTTACATGGAATGAATTATCATTTATACATCTAGATCCCCGAATAAAATAATATGAACTTGAAGTTCATAAAAGAATAATTCATGTTCAATTTATTGCAAAGCATGCCAGACGCATTTGCTGACCCAAAGAAAGTAACTATATTCTCATTGCAAATGCTCCTATTAGAATAAGTCCTAGAAGGACAAAGTCTATAGTACGCTTAAAGCATAAAGACAAATCGGTTTCAAATAAACTTCTTGATAAAGAAGATGAGCAAATGATCAAAATGATCATAATAAAGGAGGCAAGTGATCTAGAAGATCACATGACATAACACTTCATAAAATCTCAAGAGAGATTCAGGTACCTGAAAATATGAATGAAGAGATCTCTATGTTATGTCTTTATGAAAAAATATTGAAACTGATATAAAATGTTTGTCGACGACATTTATGATAGCGCTAAACATATATATGAGGATCTTAAGTCTGAAGAAACAATTCGAATAGAATTGGTTTCATATGAAAGACATGTAGTTTTGAACATGTAGTTCAAACACTTGAAAGTATAAAGTCAATGGTATGTGCAATCAGTTTTCGATATCTTATATGTCTAGCATGACATGAAAACTTGATATGCATCTAAAGTCTATTATATGGCTTATATGACTTAACAATCCCTAAAGGATTTAAATTGCTTAAAGCATATAGAATTTATGGTCATGAAGTACTACATCCTCAATGCAATTTGTGCACAAATGTATCTTGCTATAACTATATGCATGATAATATGATAGCAAGAGTTTTCACCTCTATGTGAAGATATTGAAATGATGATTCCAACAAGATCATATGAAGACAATTCATTTCTATCAAGAATGATGATTTCAAGGTGCAATATATTCATTCAAGTTAATATGGCTGATTTGTTCATCAAATCTCTACCAAAGATCTTTTGAAGATGGTGCACAAGATTGGAATGCAAATGCTCAAGGATGTGAATTAATGCTCTCATCAGGGTGAGTTAATGCGCGTTGCACTCTTTTTTCCTTACAAGGTTTTGTCCCACTGGGTTTTCCTTGCAAGGTTTTTAACGAGGCAACCAAAAGGCGTATTGTTAGATATGTGTACTCTTTTTCCTTCTCTAGAATTTTTTCCCACTAGGTTTTATTTTAGTTAAGGTTTTAACGAGGCACATTATCTGTTGAATAGACATTCAAGGGGGAGTGTTATAAATAGAATTGTATTTATGGTGAATGTCTATACTTAGAGAGATTCTAGGGTTCATTGCTTGGTGTCTAAGTCACCCTCTCCCTATAAATAGAGGCTTCTATTCCCATTGTAATTCATCCCAAATCAATAAGAATTCTCTCTCCCAACTTTTCTTTGCAATACTATTGTTCTTCATTTATTGTTTTATAACAGTGTTAATTTACTCAATAAATGAGTTTAATATAATAATGTTAAATGTTAATTAACAAGTTAAATTTATTTAGCTCAGTTAAGATTTATTGAGCATTAATTAAGTAGAATTGAGTCGAACCAAATTTGAATTGTATTAGCTTTGTTTGAAACCAAAATAGTTGAGCTCGGCTGCAATCAAAGAAGTTGAGTCGAGCCTGAGCCGATATGTCCGTGTGCGAATTGTGTAGGTCGTGGATTGTTTAATTTGACAATTGGGGAGGGAGAAGCATTGAGAATTGTCACAATATTTTACAACCGAGCTTAATAGATGTAATTTTAATTTCAAAGTAAATTTTACATGATTCAAGTGAGCAAGTTTAATTGGCTCAATCGGGTCCGAGCTTCGTCGAAATAAAAGAATTTTTACCTCCTATAGCAAAGGTTAACACCTTATTTATTTTAAATGAATACAATTTAAAAAAATTATATTCTATAGATACTTTTTAATGTTTATAGCAAAATATCTAATTTTGGTTACCTCCTACGCCTAAGCCACTAAATACGCTATTTAGTTACACTATTTTCTTTCTCTCTCTACTTTGATACATGTCATTCCCCTCCCCCATCCCATTAGAATTTCCGCTCTCCTCCTCCTTCTAACGGCATCTTCTCTTTGATTCACTTAATCAATCCTTCAAAATCCAGCGACCAGCAGCACAGCAACAACAAACCCTAACCCGAAGACCCAATCATGCCGAAGCAAATCCACGAAATCAAGGATTTCCTTCTCACAGCAAGAAGGAAGGATGCACGATCCGTCAAGATCAAGAAGAATAAGGATATGGTCAAATTCAAGGTTCGTTGTTCCAAGTACCTCTACACACTCTGTGTGTCCGACTTTGAGAAGGCCGACAAGTTGAAGCAGTCACTTCCTCCAGGTTTGAGCGTGCAAGATCTTTGAAGATGGAAGGACTAATTGGCTACAAGGCGGAAATTAGGATTTGTTCTTGAACAAAGACGACGGAGTTTGGGGATGAGCAACTTGATTTTTTGTTAATATATTTCAATGTATTTTTAACGTATCACGCTGTATTTTCATGTATTTCATTGCATTCATTGTCTTTTTTTTCATTGTAATTCAATGTATCTCGATGTATTCCGTGTATTTCATTGTATTCACTATCTTTTTTTCATTGTATTTCAATGTATCCCGATGTATTCTATGTATTTCATTGTATTCACTGTCTCGCTATATGCCATGAATGTATTCATATATTTTTTTAATTAATATAATTTATGTATTCATATGTAATATATAATTTCTCTGAAGATTGCTATATTTTTGGGGTATTTTTCAGTTGAGAATCTTTTTTATAACCGGAAATACAAATTTTGTGTGTTATAATTGAGTTTGTTGAGTTATATTAGGAGTCTATTATGTTAATTGATACACTTTCCATTTAAAAACAGTGTAATCCCCTGTTTCACGCCGTGAATACAGTCGAATAGAGTAATCTGTCCAGCTGCAATCCCATGTTTCACGCCATGAATACAGTCGAATACACTCGAATACAACAACTGATTAGCTGGACTTCCCTGATTCACGCCTATTTTTGCTATTGTATTCATGAATACAGTAGCTTAAATACATCTAATACATCTTATAAAAATAGAAAACGTATCTACAATCCGTAATATAGCAAATGGTATTAATAGATAGCTAATTTATCACTAAAAGATAGTGCTTTATGAAAAATTTTCTACTTTAAACTAGGAGTGGTAAACGGGCGGGTCAGGTTGGATATGGTTAGGGTTGAAAAACGGGTAATGAAAAAATGGATAAATTATCCGACCCAATAGATAGTTAATACGGATAGAAAACGGGTTAACCGGCGGATAATATGGATAACCATATTATCCATGACTTCTTGAATAAGATCATTTTTTGGAGAATTCTTAGTTTCCCAAACTTGGAGGAACCCTCAATTTGAGGCTTTACAAATGTAAAAGTTAAACTCTTTAGTTATCCATTTAGAAAATAGATAATATGGTTCTTATCCATATTTGATCCGTTTTTAAAAAGTTCATTATCCAACCCATTTTCTAGTGGATAATATGGGTGGTTAACTATTTTCTTTTAACCATTTTGCCACCCAAAACGAAATCAAGTCAAGAGTTGATTCAACTTTATGGCCAGGCCCAGGGCCAGGTGGTGACTTGTTGCAGCCAAACGCACACGCAAGTATACGCGGTCGTCAAGTAATAAAGTGACTAAAAGTCGGATGTCGAACCCACGAGGACTTGTGATTAACTGTTAACTAAATTAGACTATCCTAATTATCTAAACAAGAATTAAACCTAGAAATATTTGATTCTAAACTAATTAAAATAAAGAAATATAAATAATGAACTTTGAATAGAGAAAGAGCAGATTTTTATGATATCAATGTAATGAAAACGATCTAGGGTTATGGGCTATCTAACATTCCTATTGTATTCTTCAATTGAATTGACTAAATAATTTATCGAGTTTATTGGTTGACAGGGTTAATATTGCTCATAAGAATCTGTCGAGTTCTTACTCGCCTATTCAAGCTAACCTAACGCCTATATGTCTATGGAGTTAGAATCAACAAGAACGCATTTATAATTCCTGTATTTCAACCAAGCAAGGCAATTAGGTATATGTCTATCCTAATTGCGAATTCGTTCCCCGATGCCCAGGTTCAAGAACTTGCTCTACTCAATCCTATATGCAATCTAGAATTCCCACTTTCAAGTTCAACTCTAGATTCCTAGATAGTATTCAATTGGTGATCAAGCAATCAAATAATTAAGTGCAAAATTAAATAAATAAACCAATATGGTAAACTAAGAAATCAAAATCAATATCCGAATAACAATAGTCATGAAAGAACATAACCCTAGAACGTGAAGTTTAGCTCCACATAGACATGGTAGCAAAACAACAAATCATACAAAGAAACATAAAAAGACTAAGTTGGTGGAAGAAAAGATGAAACCCGGCCTCCACGGCGGCTCTGTGCTTGTGTTTTCCTCTCAACCACGTCCTCTTCTATGTTTCTTGCACTAAACAATGAAAACCTTCATATTTTACTCCTTGGGCGAGCTTGACTTTATATAGGTTAAGTGAATTTTCCTCCAGGTTTCCAATTTTGCCCCTAACAGACCTTTTCCGGAACTGGGACTAGCGCGAACGCGCTAATGTTCGCGCTAAAGTTCTCGCTAGTTTCCTGTCATTCTGCCTCCCGCTCCTGGACTAGCGCGAACGCGCTAGACCTCGCGCTAGTTCAGGCCATTTTTCTTCAATTCTTTGTCTAGTCTTTGCGCGCACACAGCTCCAAGGGGTCTTTGTTGCTCCAATGTAGCTTCAATCACCACTTTAAGGCATCATCTAAGCTTACCATCCTGCAATGTGTAAAATTCACAATTAGAGCCCATTTTTCATCATTTAACCATATTATGACATTGAAATATAATCTAGCGGGAGCATAAACAATCGCCAAATCACCTAAACTTAGCCTATTATCAGTTGGTCAATTTGCCGGGGCACGGATTTGAAATGGTTTATGATATTTTTGGTATGATATCGCTAGTGTTTTGGGTCAATTTAAGGTACTAGTCAACCGGATCCACAACTCAAAGTGAAAGAACCTTCCTTTTATTTGGACTATATTTTGTCTTACTGTTCTTGTGAAAATGAAACTTTGTGCTGGTGTAGACTCATGTGTTTCTTTGGTTTTCTTCTCATTTTGGCTTTTACTCCTTTTTTTTTTTTATCTGACTTAAATTTTAATGGTCGTTCTATCACTTAATTAACATGACTAAAAAGGCGATAGTAGAGTATTCCGTTTCTTTTCCATCGTTGAGAAATTAGTTCCTTTATCTGATTAAAGACTAGAATTAGAAAATTTTCATCGAAGGCGTAAAATCTTCCATTATAAGATTAGTGAAGAAAAAATAATTATATATTTGAAATAAAAATAAAAATAAATATTAAAACAAGGATAGCTCAAAGATGAATAAAGGTGGGCTCATTCTTATCTTTCCTTGTAAATATTCTCAAGGCTATCACCAAAAAGCATATAGTAATTAAGTAATATTTTGAGGAATGAAGCTATCAAGATCGAGTTTATTTTGGATGAGATAGTCAAGTGTTTGGAACCATTTGGCGCTCTATATTAAAATTTTCGCTTATTAACGATTTAGCATACTTTATAATTTATATTACTTCATTTAAAATATAATCGCATCACTAATTCATTGTTGAAGGCCTTCAGGATGAGTTTAATGCCCTGCTTGCACTGCGAATGATATAAATTCAAAAGTTAAGAAAGAAAAAAAAATTAATCTAATTGCAAACCAGTTAAACTATTATTCCATACAGAATAGGATGAACCAAACTTGACTATAATCACCATATGTAGTAACTTCTGTTTGAGAGCTCCTCACTCTATGGCAAAAATATTTGTCACTCAACATTATTAGTATTATTACTACCTAGACTCCTCTTTACCTAAAGGCCGAAATTAGTAGTACTATTTTATATAAACGAATAATGTTACACTTTGGAAATTCTAGATTCCACAACCCAACCCACAAGACATGAAAATTCTTGATAATTTTCAAGTAAAGTATAAATCCAGAATAAGTAACTAAAAAGTGCTCAAAAACAAGTTCCTCTCTTGGCTTTATGCTTTGCAATAGTCGTTAAGAAATCTAAAGGTGAAGAATAACAAAAAGAAGCTAAAGCTTCACTGCCACAGCTTGTAAAGTTCATGGCAATCAGCACCTACAAATATCCTTCATTATCATTCTCCATTCTCATCACCCAAATAGTTTTTCAATACATCCAAACAAGGATTTAATATCTTGTATTCCTCATTTTCCCAATGGCTCAAACAAGTTCAATATCAAGTAAAAAAGTCTTTAATGTTTTGGGCTTGCTCAGTCTTTTGATTATGTTCCAAAATGCCAATTCTTTCGAGTTCAAAGTTGGAGGTTCTGGAGATTGGAGTGTCCCTTCAGATCCCAATAGTTACAACCAGTGGGCCGAGAGGAGTCGATTCCAAATTGGTGACAGTTTATGTAAGTTTTTTTTTTTTTTGGGGGGGGGGGCTCATAGGTGGATAAATTCAACTTAACTCATTACTTTCGACTCAAAATTGTGCATACATATACAAAAAAGACTAAAAATTCACACATATAATAAGACCACAATTATTCAAAATCCACCAACGCTAGGTCCTGGATTCAGCTTTGTCATGCACAAGTTTGTTTCTGATATCATTTCTCATTTTGCCTTGGCAGCTTTTAACTACCCTGCTGATAAAGACTCAGTGCTTCTTGTAAACAAGGCAGACTATGATAATTGCAACACAGCTTCTCCAATTGATAAGTATAACGATGGACACAGTGTGGTCAAGTTTAACCACTCTGGACCATTCTACTTCATTAGTGGGGTTCATGACAACTGTGTCAAGAATGAAAAGCTGCATGCTGTGGTTATGGCAGATAGAAGCAACCGCAACCAAACAGCAGCATCTCCTCCACCTTCCCCTTCAGCAGATGATGTTCCCCCGTCTCCAGCCCCGTCCGGTGAAGAGGCCCCGTCACCACCTACAGGCTCAGTAGAGATCAACCCAACTGCTGCACCTTCTCAAGAATCGTCTCCTCCAAAGAATGGCGCTTCTGCAATCGTCATGAGCTTTATAGGCTCCACTGCAGCTTTTATTTGTTCTTCATTCCTCCTAGGATTCTGATGAACAGTTGATGAACTTGTTTGATTTTATTTTTATTATTTGATTGTTGTTCTTTTCTTTGGGTTTCAAATTTCATGGTTTTTTGCCACTTTGCTCCCAGTGAATGTAGCTGGGAGTAAAAGGGTAGATTGGTTTGTATTGGTTCGATGATGAGAATAAATAATCTGAATGTTGTGTAAAGTTTGCGTTGGTGATTCATAAATATTAATACGAGTGTACAAAGCGAAATAAACAGCTTTCATTTGTGTGGACATAGAAGAGAGTCCTCCTTATTGCTACACATTTAACTATAATATCCCATCATGCACACCACCAAAACTCTTGCGGCAAGCAAAATGTTTTCAAGAGAAAAAATATATATAGTATAACTTAAAAGAGTATATCCAGCTTAAATGTAGAAAATAAATTTATATCATCAGTCTACACCGACTTCAAAAATTCTTTCCTAGCTCAACTTTTTTCACCATTCTCATTGTGTTGTGCAGAATAGAGTCCAATATGCCGGCAACCTGTAACAGCCAAAAAGAACGAATATAGGGGAATTTTGATAAAAGATAACATAAATCAAAAGCCCAAAAAAAATTGTTCGTGATTGAGTGGGGGCGGGTGAAGGAATGAAGGTGGGAGGGAAGGGGAAAGGCAGTTTTGAGAACTGACCGTAAAAACACCACCAATTATAGCACAGACATTTGTAATGAAGTGCGAAAAGGACTTGGATTCTTCTGTAATTAAGACCTGATAGCAGAGGACAGATATTGAGGATGAGAAACCAAAATAACAAATGTATGAAGGTCTACCACATAATCGTGAAAAGCATTGATGCAAACCTGCATAGGGGATAGCTCATAATGAAACTTCGCTTCAGGTATATGAAGACTATGAACCAAACTACTATGCGCTGTGTACTCATATTCCTCAACTAATTTATAAGATCTTGTCATCACCTCTGTTTTCACGACTTGAATAAAATGTTCAATCTGCAAATTACAGGTCAAGAAAATAAAAGGTAAGCTAGGTTTTCCGCCACCTTGTAACTCTTTATGATCACACCAGATGAGTAAATATAATAGAGGAGCACCCAAAAACTTAGTGGAAAAAGGACCAAGCAGTAACTGAGGATTTCTTCGTACTTTTTGGAAGATTTTATAGACTGGAGCCAGTAAAAGCAGCAGAATGTAACATTCTAAATAAACTATGAAGGCATTGTCACCATTATGGTTTTAATTTCTGAAGGTTTGCAATCATTCATGTAGAAGTTGCTTCCACAAAAAGGTGTGGTCACATTTAAATAAAATAAGAGATGCTATACGCGGGTAGGAAGCTTACAGTAACATTTTCTGTAGAATCTCTTGGATTAGTAATATATGAGTTTCCATTCAACCGTTCGTGGCTTTGACCCAAATGTGGCAGCAGTCTCTTGATATCACTCATAACCTTTGGAGTTATTGTCTTACCAAACGAAAAGCGGGAAATTACATGTGACATGTTCATCTGAGAAGCATCAAATGAATGAGCTGCTGAACGAGCTGATATGACAAGGTTGCCAGGAACCTAAACATTACGTAACATAAACTGATATATTAGTTTTTTGGGAAATTTTAAAATTAGCAAGAAAATAGTGGATGAGCTTCTCCGCAATCTTAATGCCTGAGAGAAAATTCAAATTAATTAAGTATTAAACAACACATCATATTTCTCTTTATCTCCACCATCTTCCTCATGTTTTTTGTCTGCTTGCAGCTTGGAGAGAGAGGGGGGGATTCAGGGATGCAATGATCCGAAGAATAAAAGTAGATTTGATGCTCAACAAGGGTTTCCGCCTAGGTTGACTGCCTCATCATGTTCTTTTCTCCGTATTAGCACACCAGAATAAATTTTTTTAACAAAGAAATGTCCACCTATTCTTTACGGGCTCCAATTAATAATTTGTATACCTTCTTAACACGTACAAAACCTTCTATTCTGCATCCTCCAGTTACAGGAGCAGGTCTTTTCAAGTCAGTTGCCAGCTTGGTAGACGTATTATCAGAAGTAATCATTTGAGACTCCAACTTGATAGGTGCAATCAAATCTTCCATCATCTGCAGAAGATAAATCCCAGTCATCTCAACAGCATGAAAGCAACGATCCAATAACATCTAATGCCACACAACTGCCCCATGGCAGGGCACTGTGAAAAATTAGTTCAAAAGGTTATGCCCAGTGATTGTAAGAAAGAAGTGCGGACCAGCTCTATTTTCTTTCCTCAATCTTAACCATCCTTAAAATTTCTTTTTTTCATGCTTTCTTCTTTTCCTTATCCAAGCCCAACTATGTCCTCACCTTGACTAGGCTATCTGTATCACGATCGCCATAGTACGACTCATGATCATGGTGTCCATGGTCCTCTCTGCATGGCAAACACACTTAACAATAAATACATTATAAGAACCAAAGAACCATGCAAATGAGATTTAGGCTAAAAACCCTGAATTCACTACACTTCCAAGTACATATTGTATCAAACTTAACTCAAGAAAGTTAACAAACATTTACCAATTGGCAACAAAATGACTTTCCTTTTTTACCTCCACTATCCAGACACGTAATGCAGCTCTAATTATTCAGAAAGCAGAATGCTGATAGCAACTTCAGCAGCGTTACTATGCTTAAAATTTCAGCATGAAAAGTGGAAGCAAATAAAGATTCAAAACAAAGGCAGAAGATAGAATGATGAAGAAGAGGAATTTCAGTACACTTTCCACGGCCGAGCGTAGCAATGATAAGGTTCTCAAACGTACGTAAAGGGATCAAACAAAATAACTGGAAAAGTGCATCTTTTAGCGTGCTAGCACAATCTAACACTTTAACGTTGATACACATATGCAACTGTCACACAATAATGGCCTAAATTTTACAACATAATGAAAGCGCCTAACAAGGAATTTTGTTTTTCTTTTTGAATTTGAGAGGATTTGGAATCACAATCAAACTAATAAAGTATGAAGGACATTAAACATACTATATAAAATTTAAAAAGTTAGATAGTAGTGGTGCAAGTTCATAATTGGCTAAAGATAAGTTAATGATTTACCTAAGATCAGATCCTTTTCTGAAGATGCGAATGGAAGGATACCCTTGTATGTGATTCCTGAACATTTATTATTAGATGATTGTAAGGCAAAAGGATAAAAATGAAATCATGCTAGAAAATCATAAACGAAAGAAACGTTAGTTAAGGGCAACTCTAAGCACTTCCATCCAAACTATTTAGGCAACACAAGGCCTTCCTCTTATTAAAGCATAAAGTATGAAATGTCCAACCAAATCTCCTCCTTTATTCAGGTGATATCAATTTTTTCCAAGTTCACCATCATGGACTCATGACCCAACCAATCAATACTGCAGAATTTGAGAAACTGGATTGAAGGCAGAAGTAACTTCAGCATTAGATCTGTGATAGACGAGGTAAAATTACTACTCCCCTAAACTAACTGAACCTCTCATGGTTTGCAAATCTACCAGACATTTGTACTCAAAGAACTGAAGCTCAGTTAGGTCCTCGACAAAATCAGCCATGTAGAGCCTACTTTTTTCCATCTTTGAAATTGTGAGGAAACAATAGATTAACTGTCTTTTCTTGAATATAAAAACAAAGACAAGTATAGCAAAGTTATAATTTTTTGGTCAAATGTAGGTTTTACCGGACAGGCACAGCAACAATCTCTAAATTGTTCACTCAAATAATACCTTCTACACAAATCCACTTCTTCAGTGCAATCAACTTTTGCCACAAGAATACGCCCATCTGTTTCACGGTCATATCTGAAAAAGTGCAAGATTGAACTTAGAGTTAGCATATCAGCATGGGGATTGTTCGAAGCTCCATTTCAGACATGAGAAGGAGTTCAGCATATACTATTTTTGAAAAGTATATGGGCAACAAAGTGGACCTCTCTCGTATGATATTGGCTGCTTTCTCCCATGAAGGTTTCTGAGACAAACAAGAAATTTTTTTCAGAAAAAGAGAGAACATTAGCTATTCTAAAATGAACAGGTTAACCTTTCTTAGTTTAACCAGAGGATAGCCACAACCTGTTCTATAGAAAATTGTCTGATTATTTAAGCTGGAAATAGACAGGCATAGAGCAGAGAGCACACAGGTGAACTACCTTACTGCGTGAATGTATTATTTTCACAAGGACATAAAGTAAAAATACACGAAATGCGTGAAACATCCTAGTCTAGAAGCCAAGATTTACAACTGCAGACACAAAAAAGGACACTTCTATACCTAATCTTCCAATTGCTCTTGATAAATGGCAGGTTTGATCTCTCATAAGAAACATCATAATCCTCTGCATACTGAACATAGATATAATGGCATAAAGGAAAACCACTAGAGAATGAAATCAGAGCGACATTTCTATGGTGTAAAAAGGTCTTGATTCAGTCATATTATACTTTCCATGAGCTTGTTTCTCCCAAACTAAAATAAGCAAAATGGAGAACAACAATAATCCGTTAGACTCACTTTGCTTGGTGTGCTGCTGGCGATAAGCCCCAAAAAGACACCATCTAACCACAACAAGAGATCTTAAAAGCACGACTGCCTCATTTTTGCACTAGAAGAGGCAACTAAAGAAAGACTTTTGGTCCATACAAGCAGATTACAGCTACAATCCAAAACCTATAATTGAAAAGGTTTTGGCCATAATGTTAGATCCAAAATGCCGAAAACAACATGGAATTCACTGGAGTGCACGTTAAGCTAATTAATCCAGTAACATTACTCAAATTTAGACAAATTCTGCTTTCATGGTTCTTTTTACTTGACCCCCAAAATAATGTCTGATCGAGCAAACGATCCAAAAAGTTCAAACCTGAGTTTATGGCCATCAGTCAGTCCAGCCTCAAGCAAAAACTAATCATGCCATGTATCCTCAGGGAAAGACCAAGCTAGAAAATTGCGCACGCATATAGCAGGTTTAGTTTTGTTCTATTTGGAAAGCTGCCTAGGTGTTCAGCAGATCTATTTTTCAGCTAATGAAAAATACCATCCATATTCAGTACTTGAGGAATTTTTTTTCTTAGAGAGAGGTAATAGCATATAAAAGCAGCATTAAGGAAGTGTTGAAGTATTTGCAGGTGAGCAAAAACCAAAAGAAGAATCGCTTTCCAACCTTATAGGGATTCCAAGA